AGTGAGGGGTCTTTTCAGGGTGATGGAAATGTTTGGGAACCAGACAGAGGGGGGTGGCTGTACCACATGGTGACGGTGCCAAAGGCCGCTGGATTGTTCGCGGTGGCTGGCGAATTTTACGTTCTATAAATTTCAATTCAATAACTTATTTTAAAAATATGGACAGCATATAAATACGTATATATTTATATTTATATACGTGATTATATATAAACCCAAGTGTAATCTAGGTATGGTGAAATTAAACACAAATATACCGGGAATGCATTTACAGATTGTTGGGTGTGCGTCATATGAACGCACACGAATGCCTTGCCTGTGGGCGCCGTTCTCCAGTGCCTGGGCCTTTGCTCTTCTGTGGGTGGAGATGACCTATCAGGGCGAGGATGCATTTAGGGGAACTTAACGCCCCCCCTTCCCAGATGGCGACACCACCATGCACGCCCCACCCCCACCCCGTGCCGCGCCCGTGGACGCTACCTTGCAGGCTGGGATTTGGGAGTTTTCAGATCTGGTTTTACTAAAAGTCCCCTAAAGTCTCTACTCCTCTGAGATGGATCCGTCTCATTAAATAATAAGCTACATGGCCTAGGGGCCCTGACCCGCCTCACCTCGTGAATGCTGACTTCCCTTTATCTTTTAGAGAGAAACGACCGTTTATTCCCCAGTAATGGTTGCTAGGGGCAGACCACCTGATAACGATGTGATTAATGATGAATTAAATTATCGTCACCTTTCAGCCGACCACGGAGAAGAAGCTTCCACGTGTTGTGCGAGTATGCACGTAGCACACATAGGTCTATGTGCACGGTGGGGGTGGGTGTGCGAACGTGCCCACGCGTGCGCTCTGCTGACCTGGGGGAGACCTCCGCGAGGGAGGGGTGGTAGCGTGAAGCCACCCACGTGTGCCGCCCTCACGCAGCTGGACTGAGCTGGGATCCTACACACGGGAGCGTGTCGGAGTGCCTTGGAGGGGACCATTTATCAAAGAAATTCTTTGGAGGGTATGTTTGCAGACTCCTTTGGAATGTGAATAACCATCTCCTAATTCCTATTTGGGAAATTAATCTTCTGGTTCCTGGAAATGTGGCAGAGAATTTTGGAAACAGGGTCAGAGGCTAATGCCTGTCAGAGCACTCGGAGGCACACCTGAGGGGCTGGGTGAGCGAATTACGGCACCTCAGTGCAGTGACACAGTGTCAAGCGTTACAAGCGAGGTGAACATCTACCTAGACATATGCTCCTGAAGATGCCGTTAGGCAAGAACGACCAGAAAAAACCCAGGCTGCAAAACAACGAATGGACTGCGACCCCATTTTTGCAGCTTGCAAACAGCAGTTATTTCTGACAGGCGGACTGTACGTTTGCTTTTGCGTCTGTGCTTCTCCGCAGCGAACATGCCTTGTTTACGTACTAATGAAAAGGCACTATGAGCTCATTTTAATTTAAAAAGAAAAGCATGGATCTTAAGGGCAGCCTTGAGACCCTCCTCGCCCCAGAGGAGGAAGACAAACCAAAGAGCCGTCCTTCTGGATTCCATCTCTGTGGTTCCGGAAGGCGCGGGTGGCCCTGGGGCTGCAGCACTGAGCTGGCCCTGGGGTCTGGAATCATGTTCTGGGGCAGGAGTGTGCGCCACCTGCCCACGTCTGTGGAAGGACCAAGCTTTCAGCTCCTCCCTTTGGCTCCTCCCTCACGCCCTTTCCGGGGACAGGCCACACCCCCATTGCTCGGACATCCTGCGCTCAGGGAGCCCAGGGCCAGCCTGAGGACCGCATAGCAGGTGCACACCTCCCGTGTCCGCCCCCACAGGTGGGCCGGCCGGCCAGGTGCATGAGGCCGCTGGAAGAGCCGCCTGCGGTGCAGCGACGGCTGAGACACCCGTGCCGCCCCTCAAGCGTCCCGAGTAGGATGCGGGAGAAGAGCGTCCACTACCGCTGTGAGCCTTGGGGCAGCCCTGGGCCTCTCAGAGCACAGTCTCTTTCTTGGCCGAAAAAGGAAGGAGCCGGACAAGATGGCCCCCCGGGCCCCTCCCAGCTCGGAGGCCCCAGGGCATTCTCAGGGTGTGACGAAATGTGACTCACTGCTTTGACGCCAACTGGACCAGACCAGCAACTTCTTCCCACTTTCCTCACATTTCAGGGTAGGGAGGGGTTTTTAAGACGCCATCTTGGAGCGCCGCCCCTCCCCCATCTCACACACACAAATACCGCGGCTCAACCCCACGAAGGCATCCGGTGTAGACTCCGAACCAAGGGTACAGGGAACCCCAGTGATGACGCCCTCACTCAGCCTCCTGGGGCCCCGGGTGCCCAGCCCGGAGGCTTCACTCTGTTCTGCACAAACCCCTTGCACGGGAGGCCAGCTGGCCCACAGTAGTTCTCGGACAAACCACTTACGCGCTCACACGCTGAGCAAGGTCAGAAGACACGGAAGGGGTGACTTTCAGCTGTGGCCCCTCCTTTCCTGCTCCCGGGGCCCCATCTGCAGCGGGGGTGCGTGAGGGGCTCAACCGCAGCAGTGGATGTAGGCACCCCTCGGACGTGGGGGCCTCTTGGTGCAGTGAGGGGGGCGTCCCTCTCGCTCTCAGACTCCTTGCCGTGGGTCAGCTGGTCCCGGGGAGCAAGGAGCCTTTGCTGAGGTGCCCACCCCTGGGGGGGGCATCGGTTTGCTCCCGTCTTCCCTTCATTATTTTTCCTTCACACCTGCTCCAAGTGCCCCAAACAGAAACCACTAAGAAACCCTAAAAATGTTCAACGAATGACCAGAGACACTGAGCTGTCACAACAGGGCTTGCTCTCGGGTTCCGCACAGACGTACGCTCCCTGGGCCCCCAAGTCCTAACGAAAGGCGCAGTCCTGTCCCCTGGTCCGCCTGCCCTGGACAGAAAGTTAAAGCGGGCTCTGTGGCCGCCCCTCCCGCCTGCCCTGGACTGACCAGCGGGAGGAAGTGTTTGGAAACGCTGCCCCATCAGCTCTTTCTGCCTCTTCCCTGGCCGGTCTCTTCTTCCCACTCAGCCAGCGTGCGGGTCAGGGAGGCAGCCGGGCGGCTCTGAGCTAAATAAACTCCTGAAAGGGCAGGGAGCCTCCACTGGGCCGTTTTTCAGACTTGAATTCCACCGAGAGGAGCTTACAAAGGCCTTTCCACCTGTTTAGCCTGAATTCCCTCTCAGCCCTGGGCAAACAGCTGCCCTCCCAGGAGGGGACATGAGCCGGCAGGTGTGAGCACAGCTGGCCGTCCAGGTGCCTGCCGTGGACCCCAGCGTGCGGCCCCGGCAGCAGCAGGAGGTGGCCCGACCCTGCTCGCCTCGGCTGTTCGGCTGGAGCAGCTACGGGCAGTCTCCCTGCAGAAAACCAGCAACACGCACGGTCTGAACTTCACGTCCGCCCGACAGGGCCCAAAGCTCTGCACAGAACTTTCTGACACGGGGCCTGAAGGCGGCCGGCTGTGGCGGCCACGTCCCCATGTCGGAGGCTCAGCTCTGCCACCGAGGAGTGGGGCAGCAGGGACCTCCCACCCCAGGGAGGACGAGGCCAGGAGCGCTGCACAGGGCCAGGCTGAGAGCAAACAAGGCGGGGACAGACCGCTCCGCTGTCAGGGTCAGCCGGTGACTCGCTAGCCCGGGGCAGCCGGCGTGTCTACGCAGAACGCTGGCCACGGACATTTGCATTCGGCTGTGAGCTGACCCTGGGCACACCTGTCCCCTCCCTGCTCTGTTCCCTGGGATGCCACTCTTTTTTTACAGGTGTTTCTAACTCAGGCTAAACTAACCTTGCTGCAGACCCCAGGACTGGGGGAGGAGGTGAGGAGAGACGGGTCTGCTCAGTGACCACCCCTGCTCTGCCATGCTGAAGGTGCAGAAGGTCAGCCGCGAAAACCAACAGAGAACTGGTACAGGTGGGAAGGGGCCGGCAGGAGAGCCAAGATGCCCCGCCCATCTCCTTTAGTACTCCCCCCGCCCCCGCCGGCACCAAGGTCACACCTGAACCCCTTTCCCGGCCCCATCTGGATGGCAGCCTTTCTCGCCTGTGCTTCAACCACCCCAGCTCCCTGGAAACCCAGGGCACTGCTCTGACCCCGGGCCTCAGACCTGCCAGGCATTGGACCACCGGTCGGGGGAGGAGAGGCTGGGTAAAGGGAACCCTGTACCCCTCTGGGCCCCATCAGCCACTGGTCTTGGAGAGGCTGGGAGAGCTTGGCCCCAGGCCCTCTTAAGGGAGTTTTCTTTTATATTTATTAACCCACTTTCTCTCTTGGCACTCGGAGCAGCGAGGAAGTCTCGGCCAAGGCTATTAATAGACGGAGGCCATCCCTGGGGAAGAGTGAGCTCATACCTACCGCACAGGTGCCAAGCATAATAAAGGCTTCTGAGTCGGGCTAAATATAGGCCGCGGCCACGATGGGGCACGGAGGGCGGGCCTCGGGGAGCTGAGCACAGTCTGCCCCGTCGCCCCCCATCCCTGCTCCCTCGGCAGAGCTTTTCAATGCCCGTGCCGGAGCCCGGCCCTGCCGGGAAAAGACCTGGCGGTCACACGGTGCCACCTCTCCCGGTCAGACCTGTTCGGAGCCGCCAAGGAAGGGATTTGCAAAATGACATGCAATATAAATGACTCCTGTAAACAGAGAGTTTAATAAAAAGGCAGTGAGGGAATTTATGGACAACCCAAGGATGATTAAAATTATTTATCTACTTACCTCCCTTGCTGGCTGATCAGTCTATTAATTATCTATTATGCACTCGCTGATTTGCATTTTGGTAGTGGGATGGAGTGAGGGCAGGTGGGAATCACAGAAGGGTTCAGGAACCAAGTGGTGGGGGGAGGTGTGGAGCCCCCTCTCTACCAACCACGGCCCCCCCAGCTGACGCCACGTTGCCACGCTGCCGAACTGCCACGCTGCCGCCCACAGCAGTAGCCGCCCCAGCCCCTGGCCCCCGAGAAGCCCCGATCCAGGAACCCCGATCCAGGAACCTGCAGAAAGTTCGACGCGAAGGGATAACACACCTGTGTGCCGGTGGAGAGCTCCCGGGACCGGTTCCCAGCCGAAGGGGTCTGCAGACCAGCTCGAGGGAAATGCTGGCAGAACCTTCCTCTGGCCGTTCTGACTTAACGCTGCATTTAGAAAAGAAAACACGAGAACAAAACCATTTTCAATCTCTGAATATCTGAAGTGCATCAGACACACGCTCTCCCGCGCTCTTGATTAAAAATATCACAGGACAGAGTGTCATGGGAACGGCATCTTTTGAACACTGCAACCAAGGGAGCGTCGGGCTGGGAGAAGGTATAACAAAGCGTCCCTGCTCACCACCTCGGGGCTCCCAGCCACTCACAGCCCTGCTGCTCGCCTGCAGTGAGACACACAGTGTCAGACGGGCCCTGGGACCTGGGGGGAGGGGGCCCCGAGTGCAGTTGGTACAGACCTTACACTTTATCTAGACCTTCAACCTCACAGATCAAAATCTCCTGGCACAGCTAGCCAGTTCCTCAAAACAAATCTCTTTTCTTTATCTATCTATCTATCTATCTATCTATCTATCATCTAGCTATCTATCTATAGCATGTATATCATATAGGTAGATATAGACATAGATAAGATACGTGGATTGGTAGATAGATAAATGGAGGGAGAGAGAGATGGATAAATAGATGGATGGATAAATGGATGGATGGGTGGATGAATGGATAAATGGATGGATAGACGCATGAATAGATGGATGGATGAATAGTCGATGGATGAATGGATGGATGGATAAATAAATGGATGGATAAATGGATGGATGGAAGGATGGATGGATGGGTGGACAGATGGACAGATAGCTCCTCTTGGTCCTGTTTCTCTGGAGAACCATGGCTGATTCAGTGCATCTGGGGTCTTTCTAGCTTGCACTTCCGGAGGAGTTGGGCCCCTCAATGGCGTGGAAAGGGCAGAGGAGGCAGCAAGGGGCCAGTCATCCCTTGCAAGCGAGGACTGCAGGGTCATGCGCCCAGGAGTGCACTGACCGTAAGTCTCTGTGAGCTGACGTCCCAGCCCCGGTACCAGCTTCCTCTTGAGCCTTAAAATCCCCCTACCCCGAGACCCTGCCAGAGGGGGGGCTCCCTGGCATTTGCAGGACAGTCATCTCCACGCCCCATCCTCTGTGCCCCGCCCGGCACCACCCCCTCCCCCCAGCACTGGCTTCTCAGTCTCCATGATGTATCAATAACCGCAAAGCAAAATGCCACAGTTAGCAGCGCTACTGTGCTGTGACGAATCGCTTCTGGAATCGATTCGCAGGGCTGTGTGTGTGCAGCGAGGTGGGGCCGCGTCCCAGGAGCCGAAGCAGCCCCTGGGAATTAGGCACACCAGGAAAAGTCCCAGGAGACAAAGAAGGAGGGAGAATGCAGGGGAGACAGGAAAAGAGCCGATCTTTAAGAAGGGGGACTGGAGATTCTCAGTGACGCAGAGGACAGGCATCCCGAGTCCAGGCTGGGCGGCGAAGACGCCACAGGGCACGGCCGGAGGACCTCTGATGGGGGTGGGGCACGGCAGGCAGAGGGCTCACGGCCAGACCCACCTGGAGGGCAGGAGCAGATGGCAGCTGGCTCTTGGGTAGCAGGACCCTTCCCGGGATGGGGATATGCCGCCCGTCCCAAGTAGCATGTCGGGCTCAGGCCAGGAAACACTCCGGCTCACGTACTTGAGATTTTATTGGCTTAATAAACTGCGTGGTTGCTGCCATCGGGTCCTCCTTGAGCCCAAGCAGGAGCACACGCTAGTCCCTGGGGAGCAGGCAGCAGGAGGGACGGGGCTTAGTGCAATGAGGGCTCCCGGAAACTTCTTGCAGCTGTAACTAGTGACCCTTCCAGTAACCCTAGAGGGAAACCACCACACACTGGCCCACCCTGGACCTGAGCCCAGGGAATCCAGCACGGGACGCCTCGTGACGGCCACCCTGTCCTGGCCCTTGCTACGGTGAGTCTCTGGGCGATTCGTTTTCCCCATTTGCAAGGTGAGCTTCCTCACAGCTGTGGCCCTCACACATGGCCCTGAGAAGCCCCCCGAAGCCCGCCGGGGCAGCCTCATCGAAGGGGATGGGGAGGGGAGCTCTGGGGGCTAGTTCAGCAAAGTGCCAGAGAGGGGACAGGGGTCCCTGCACTTCCGAACCGTGAGTCCGGGGACAGAGTGAAAGTGCACAGGCTTCTACGCATCCCTCGTTCACTTAGTCCTCACGTCCTGGGCCCGTCTACCTCTCTTCCCAGTTGGGGTCCTCACCCCAGGCGCCCTGGGTGCAGGAGAAGCAGAGAGCCCGGCCTGGGCTTCAGGGGCCTGGAGGGTCCAGCAACGCCCTCAGGGCAGGGAGGGTGCAGCTGTCCCGTCTTTGCTCGCAGAGATGCCACGCGGAGTGCGGATTTGGCCTGAGCACAGCAGCCTGCACGCTCCCACCTCTTGCTTGCTGGGGGCCTGCGGCCGCAGCACCGCCCCCGGGCCTCCAGGGGGCGCCCCAGCCCGTTCTCCCACCTCCAGCAGCTGCCGCCCGGGGCCCAAACGTGAAGAGAGGCTGTCCCCTCCTGGAACCTGCACCCCCACTTCCAGGACTGTGTCCCCGTCCTGCCAGACTGAGGGCTCGGACAGCCACAGAGCCTCTGAGGGCAGCGGGCGGTCATGCCCCGAGCACAGCTCCTCAGCCCATCACCGTGGAGGCTGCGGGTCAGAGTCGCTCCTGAAGTGGGGTCCATGCCGTGGGGGCCCAGCAAGGAAGACCAAATGCTGGTGAATGGTCTTCCTCTCTCCCCCCTTCCCTGCTCTCTTCCCCGCTCCTTTTCACAAGTACACTGGCTTCACTTCCTGCCCTAACCCTTTCCCAGATACAGACTGCTCGATCCAGCTCGCAGAGACACAGAGAGATGCTGATGCCACACGAGCGGCACGCCAGGGGCCGAGGGCACAGTCCTCACACGCTCTGACTCCACAGACCCGCTGGCGGCCGGGAGGGCCAGACTGATGGATGGAAGGAACCAGATTTCCCCCACCACTCTCCCTCCATCTAACAGACTGTGAGCTAGTCTAGAATTGTTTCTTCAACTGTCCACAAACGTCTTCCTTACAACCAGCATAAGCAGACAGAGGTCTCGTGCAAAGTGAGGGCCGGGGTGTTGGGAGGGAACCATGCAATGGAACATTCTAGACTCTGGACCACCGGTGCTTCCTCTGCCCGACAAATGCAAGGAAAAGGCACAGTGCCCTGGGGCCCTGGCGATGGTCTTCTGAGCAAAGCTTACCCGTCTCTAGCAGGCAGACACCTTCAAGCAGAAGGAAGCCAGAGCGCTAAGTGAGAACGTGTAGACGTGTAAACAGCTCGCCTCTCCTGTCCCCCAACTGATGGGACCGTGCCACAGGGGCTGACTCCCAGGTGCCGCCCGGCGGGTCCACAGGAATACAAGACACACGCATTCCTGGAATGTCAGAAACCCATTCAAGGCAATCTCCCCCCGAACTGCCTTCTGCCATCGACTGGGTGGCACTTTCTCACGTACGCGGGTCCTGCATGGCCGGTGCACCTTCTCGAGCGTGCCCGCGGAGGGCAGATGTGCGCCCAGCCAGAGTGCCGCGGAGGGCAGATGTGCGCCTGGCTCTTGCTTTGATCTCACACGGTTACACGTTCAGTGTTACAAGCTAATAAAAGCTGCATGATCAAATTCCAGGTCATTACTCAAGGAAAGGGACCCCTCTGTGGTCGACAGCGACAGTTTCAAACCAATTAAAACAAGCCTGGCGTTTCTGCGGGCTGCCGCGCACCCACCACCCCGGCAGTCTCCGAGGGCCCATGTGCACGCAGAGCAAGATGCACGAAATGTTAATGGAGATGGTAAATGTCACACCGAGGGGATTCTGGTAAATAAGGCCCTCGGAAGAGGCCAGGGGGACGCGCCTCCTGAGCTAACCCTGGAGGGAACTTCAATACAGATGAGATTGGACCAAAAACAATGCTCTCTGCAGGGGATGGGTCTGCAGGCAGAGCTGGAGAGTCTTGGGGGGGGGGGATGTGGTTCCGTTTCCTACTGGTCTGCCTCTGACAGCGTGCGTGCTCCCTGCCGCCGGCACCAGCACTGGCCAGGACCCACAGCACCACCAAGTGGGAGAGGACCGGGGATGCCAGAGGGGGCTGGGGGTGGTGCTGAGTGGGCGAGGGGAGGGGCGATTCAGCGGTGCCTGGGCGTCAGGGCGCTGGAGCAGAGAAGGTGCAGAGGGCTCATGGCTGTGCGGCGGGTTCACAGGTGTCTAGCGGCTGCTCTGAGCTCTGCCGGGTCCTGTTTCAGGAAGATCCAATGCCCCCCGTGACACAAGTGGATCCGGTTTCGAGAGAACACCACGCTGCGCCCGGGTCAGTGAGCAGCCACTGCACTGTGAGCAGGCTCGCACCAGGTCATGTAGCCATGTGCGGACTCGGGGCCAGCCCCACTCGTGGGCAGCTCGGCTGGGCCTCGGCCGTGGCTGCCACCTCCGCTCCCAGCCAGGACTGTGTGCGGCTCAGAGTTCTGCCCCACTCAACGAAGGACCACAAGGAGAAGGGGAAAGAAGGCGCCCGGCCGCGCGGAGGTCAGCGAGTCAGGGCTTGGAGCGCTGGGCCTCAGGGCTGGGGCTCTTCCTCACACAGCCCCTGCCCCCAAGGCCACTGTGGCCGCAGTCCCCGAACGAACGTCAATCGAACTCTACAACCAAAACAACAAACCTTGTTCAGCTAGGCTTGCCAGATTCAGCAGAGTCACCGGATGCCCGGCGGAATTTGCAATTTCAGATAAACAGCAAATGATGTTTTACATTAAAAATATTTTTTTAATGTTTATTTTTGAGACAGAGAGAGACAGAGTGTGAGCAGGGAAGGGGCAGAGAGAGAGGGAGACACAGAATCTGACACAGACTCCAGGCTCTGAGCTGCCAGCACAGAGCCCGACGCGGGGCTCAAACTTGTGACCCATGAGATCATGACCTGAGCTGAAGTCGGACACTTAAATGACTGAGCCCCCCAGGCGTCCCTATTTTACATTTTTTAGTATAAGTATGTACCATGCAATATTTGGGATGTACTTATACTACTTACATGTACTTATGCATGGTTCGTCTGAAAATA